TCGAATTCCTGCACTTCTAACGCTCAAAAAACCAATCTCGAAACAGAGATGAAGCAGCAAGGCCACAGACTCAAAACAAATTTGTCCTTCAAGGCCACAATGAAAGGTGGAGCGATCCGACGAAAAAATCGCCCAGTAATGTCGTGTTGGAGCTTCGGGGTGCAAAAAGGAGGGCGCAGCCCGGATAATTCCCGAAGCTCCAGGAGGGCATTTCTGGGCGATTCCTTCTGCGAACACTTTTTTTGGCCTACAGGGCAAATTTGTTTTGCGTCTGTGGCCTTGCTGCTTCATCTCTGTTTCGAGATTGGTTTTTTGAGCGTTAGAAGTGCAGGAATTCGATATGATTCATTCTGCCTCTGGATAGTCTCTAGAGGGTCAAAAAGGTGTCTACTTAAGAGAGAGTCTCGAGCACCTGCAAGCACGTCTGACCCGGAGGAACCTGCACCTTGAGTCTGTGTCTTAGCTGCACCTGCACGCCTAACCAGCAAGGCCTGTGCACCTTGAGCCTGTGCATGCGGGCACCTACAGCCACGTCTGATCCGGACGGGTCGAACCTGTGCATGTGCGGGCACCGGGTGGCGAGGCACCTACTGCTCGGAGGCGTGGCACTCGCACCAAGCGCACTCCACTGTTGCAAAGTTGATACGCTGCACGGGCGGGAGGCAGGCTTGCTGCTGGGTGTAGGGCAGTTCTTCCGCATCAACAGGCAAAGACCTGGTGCAAGCCACACAGTGAGCAGCACAGTCTCACGCATGCAGCTGGTTTTGCACACAGCAGCACTGCGTTCTCGCTCTTACTAGCAGAGAAAAGGCCCGCGCAATGCGCAAAGCACTTCCTTGGCGTTCTCGCTCTTACTAACCAAGGGAAACGCACACAAACAACCCACCTTGCTGGTTGAGAGCACCTCCGCGTGTCGATGTGGAGCACATAACACGTCAGCGCTTTCTTTACTACCTACTAGTACTGTACCACTACTATTACCACTATTGCTACTGCTACTGCTGCTCCTGCTACTACTGCTACGATTATTGCTACTACTACTACTACTACTACTACTAGTCCTACTACTGCTATTACTGCTACTACTGCTACTTCTACTACTCTTGCTACTGCTGCTGCTACTACTATTACTACTACTACTATTATTATTACTGCTACTACTGCTACTATTACTATTCCTTCTATTACCATTGCTCCTGCTACTATTACTACTACTACTACTACTACTACTACTACTACTACTACTACTACTACTACTACTACTACTACTACTACGACAATATATACTACTACTACCCCTACTACTATTACTACTACTACTACTACTACTACTACTACTACTACTACTACTACTACTACTACTACTACTACTACTACTACTACTAGTACTAGTTCTAGCACTACTACTACCACTACTACTACTACTACTACTACTACTACTACTACTACTACTACTACTACTACTAGTATTACTATTACTACTATTACTACTATTACTACTATTACTAGTACTATTATTACTATTATTGCTACCTACTACTACTGCTATTCTTTTACTACTACTACTCCTACTATTACACCTACTACTATTACTACTATTATTACTATTACTATTATTATTATTAGTATTAATTATTACTACTACTACTATTATTATTATTACTTTTACTATTACTATTACTATTACTATTACTATTACTATTACTATTACTATTACTATTACTATTACTATTACTATTACTATTACTATTACTATTACTATTACTATTACTATTATCATTACTATTACTATTATTATTATTATTACTATTATTATTACTATTACTATTACTATTACTATTACTATTACTATTACTATTACTATTACTATTACTATTACTATTACTAGTACTATTACTATTACTATTACTATTACTATTACTGCTACTGCTACTACTGCTACTACTGCTACTACTGCTACTACTGCTACTACTGCTACTACTGCTACTACTGCTACTACTACTACTACTCCTGCTACTGCTACTGCTACTGCGACTGCTACTGCTACTGCTACTGCTACTGCCACTACGACTGCTACTGCTACTGGTACTGCTACTGCTACTGCTACTGCTATTCCTACTGCTACTGCTACTGCTGCTGCTACTACTACTACCACTACTACTACTACTACTGCTTCTACTACTACTTCTATGATTTCTACGACTACGACGAGCACGACTGCCACGCCGACACGACGACGACGACGCCGGCTACGACGTCGACGCCGACCACGACGACGACGACTACTCCGCCAGATTCGATTCATGTTTGAGGCCAACTGGTTCCATGGATGACCTCTGGTTTGATCTGTTCATGTCACTGTTGCCTATAGCATGCCAATACAGAAGCCACAACAACTCGACGACAATTTAGGGCGTGTTGCTGTGGCAGTTGTTTGGCATCTTTTGCAGCTGCACTAGGATTGCCTCACCGGAAAAGTAGACCTAGGCCCGCAAGACAGGAGACAAATGAGGAGACAAGCGCAGAGACAGCAGGGCGAGGATACACAAGTAGGCGACAGCGCTGAGGCAGCATCATAGCTATCTTGTTCCATTGAATTGAATTAGGGAGCACAAGAGGAGGCGATACAAGGGAAAGAAGAAGGCACACAAAAGAGGGACATGACGGGACACAAAGAGGCCGTAGGGAAGAAGCAGCGTCATTGCCATCTTGCGGAGACGCGTGGAAGAGACCAGAGAAACGGCGAGAAAGGATTTTTAAAGACAAACCGGAAAGGGGACATGCCCAAAAAAAGAACGGAAAGAACATAACTCAAAGCCGTCTCGAAGAGCATGAGGCGCATCAGTAGCATGTGTCTTCAAACAATGTTCACACCCAAAACTTCGCCTTTCCGGGACAAATGGGAAACTGAGGGAGAGACAAGAGGTACAAAAGGCTGAAACTGTGTAGTCACCTTTCAGCTTCCCTGGCAACCAAACAAAGACACAATCTGGAGAAATCTGGAGAAATAGAACAATAGGCAGGGGTTATGGGCAAACAAACATCTGGACAAGCATCAAGCATGACAAAAGGAATGACAAAAACTAGACATGGCAAAACATCCTGTGCCACTTGGAAACCCAAAGGAACAAATGAGGGGAGACAAATCGATGAACGATTTGCGAGACAGACACCGTCTTGTCTCATTGGGGACTGGAAATCAAAAAGGACAAAAGAACAAGCTAGTAGAGCGGCAAAAGAGCGACTAAAAGGGAGAAGCGTCATCACGCTTCATGTTGTGTCACGTGTGCGTTTTGAGGTTTTTTCGTCCCGCATTGGCAGTGCAGATTGGTTCAGGTCTCAGCAGCATCCGTGTAGAATGGCATGTGTGCCATTTTGCACCCCTTGCACAAAACAGGTCAAAAATCTCTGCATTGCATGTCTTGTTGTTGCTAGGTGTTGAACGGACGAGGACCAGCCCTTGAAACCGGACAGGGCGGCAACTAAGGCTCACAGGTCCTGGAGAGTCTGAGGTACGTCATCCAAGTCCTCTTCACATAAGTTTTAATCCACAAGGCTTTGCTGTTTAGGGAGAAAGACCCCTCGCGGATCGATTAGCTTTCGTAGCCCTCTTCTCAAGTAGGAAAACCAAATCATTGTCCAACATCCCAACGCCACTGCCCTAGATGATCGTCGAATGCCCGTGCTGGCAAGGTGCACATGTTGGTTGTGGCCTCGGACGAGGTGTCCAGCGCGGAAGCATATGCGTTGTGCCTCGACTTCCGCGAGCCACACTTGCCGGGCTGCTAGATCCTGATGATTGTTCACACCTGAGTCCCATGTCTGTTTCAGTGCTTCGTGCGTCTGCAGTCATTGTTACTCTCTGGAGCAGAGATGTTGATGCATGCAATCGTACAGCACTTTAGAACCACAACGCTGGTGCGTTGATTTTCTTGATCAATATCTCAAGACTTGCAAGTCTTGCAGAGGTGGCACAGCATGTTCGGACAAGTGACCCGTTCAATTGGCCAAAAGGCCATTGAGAAGAAAGTTGAGACATGTTTGAGATCGCTGAACTGGAAACGGTTGCGGCGAGGTGCAGTCAACGCGCGGGCATTGATTATGCGCAATCTTGTTCAGTCCAGCTATGCGGCTCCTGATTTTAGCGACTGTCAGAGATGCTAAATTCTTTGGGATCAGGCAGCATGGTGCCGCTGCCGGTTCTCTGCCGGCCCGGAGCTTCAGAGACGGGAGCAAGTCTTGACAAGTTCGTTCAACAGCACCCAAAGGCAAGAGGCATGGTTGTTAGGCAAGAGGCATGGTTGTTCCATGTTGTTGAGTCTGTCAGCTTTCCAGAGATGCGCCGTCTTGGTTCATGCGCGGCCTAGTTCCCTAAGTTCCCTAGGTCGCTTCCAGGCCTAGTGTTTCCAACGAAGTTTCGCAAGAAGATCATCCTCTCCCCGCCGCGCGATGCAGCGGCTGATGGTCTGGGCTCAGGTGGCCATGCTCTCGTGCGGGGCACTGGCATTCAAGGTGTACCCCGCCAACGACATGGTGCATGCCACGCTGGGAAGCGCAGCGCAGGTCGCCAAGATGGCGTTCGAAAAGAAGCTGATCAGCCCCAACATGCGCAGGGCCCTCAGCAATGCAAGCTACTTCGTGGAAGCTGCTCAATCAGCTGGTCTTCCTTGGACCTCTGCTCATGTACAAAACCACATCCATGAAACGACGCTGTACCTCGACACTGTCCAGACTTCTCAAAGGAATGTTTCGCTCGAGGGAATTGATGAGCTCTGCGCCAGAGCCGTCTCATTTGGAGCTTGGCGCATGCCACCACGCTTGTACCAAATTCCGATGCACTTACTGCGGCGGAATTTGCAACAGAAGTCTTTGTAGAATCCGGGTTCACGATTGCTGCAGACTTAGCTGGCTCATCCAATCCGATCCTTGGCAGTCTCGCATCTGTCGGCGCCGGCTTCATTCTTGGCTGTTTGTTCGGCAATGAGGAGGAACAGAACGACATGTACAGGAAGATCCTGGAAGAGGTGGGCATTATGATGACGCGGGCGATGGTGAAGCAGGCAGCAGGGATTTGTTTGCGCATCCATCTCGTTTAGCCCGGTTTTGGCTTGCTTTTGCTCCCATACCTCGTTACCCCAGATCCTCATTGAACACAGAACCCGCACCCCAGCTGGTTGTCCGGCACAGTGGACATAGACATACTCAGAGACCTTTTGGACATCTGACATGCTCAACCGCTTAAGACATGCGCTGTTCGGACTGCAGGAGATTGCCAATCGCCAGGCGGAGCTGGAGGGGATCGTGGAAGAGCTTCGGTGGATGCCAAACTTGCTGAACGGACAGCCGAATGACCACACCTTGCTCATGTTCTACATCACGGTACAACATGACATCGCCATGGTGTCGTACAAGATTCGCAACAGAGAGTTCGGCACAGCTGAGCAGGGCTCCCTGAGGGACGAATGGATATTGGCCATGCGGCCCCTGGCCGAGATTCTCATGCTGCTGCAAAGCTACCTGATCCGAGAAATTGGCCGCAATCCGCTCGTGAACAACCGAGAGGCCGCGGAGGCCCGGGTGGAAGAGCTGCTCTACAAAGGCACAAACAGTTGGGCAACCTGGAGTTCTGACAACCTGCCGAAGATTCACGAGTTTTACCTGCGCACGCTGGACTGGAGAATAACCAGCAAGTGGGTGCAAGGGCCTAACTCGCAGGTCTATGACTGGTTCTCACACTCCCGCTCGTGCTCTTTGGCGTCTGGGTGGGAAAATGCCTGCGAAGCCAAAAAATGCGACGGCGCATCATCTTGTTTTGGCAAGTACGACAAAAGTCAATGCGACCCAAAACTATGCGGTGAGGACGAGATGAAGGACTACGTCGACAAACTCTACAAGGAGAAGGTTCTGTCGTTCGACGACACCCTCGACGAGCTCAAAGAGCTGCTGCCTTAGTTGCAGGCTCAAAGTCCGTAGGCCTACAGGTTTCTCGTCGAGAACCACTCCTCCACCGCTCACTAGACACCTCAAGGGGTTTGTCTGAAGATAAGGATATTTCAGGTTGAAGGAAATCCTGTTATGGAGATGCGAGACCCTTCGTGGTAAACTGAAGAGTCTCACAGGTTTCACCGCTTTGCTTCTCAAAACGGCAAAGGTCAAGGAAGCTCATGCCAGATACTGGGACAGAAGGCTGGCAACATGCAGGTCCCACATTGTTCTATTGGGTTCTGCGATATCTCACACTTTAGGTCAGCTCTAATCTTTTGGGCTTCACTGCAGCTGGACTACACACATGGCGCTACCTTTGGCTATATGCTGGGATCATGTTCGGAGCTGCTCCGCAGAAGTGCGGTTCCAGTGATAGCACCCCTGTCACCATATGCCAGACTAGGGCCACGAAACCTGTGCAAATATCGAGGCCTAAACCGGAAGCATCACAAAGCATCACACCAATCGGCGACGTACAGCCCCGAGGAGTCCCACGACTTCCACCGCCCCCCCACAGTGTGCAATTCCGAAACCTCCACTGAGGCTAAAAGGAATTGGGCCTACTACGACGCCTAGGCCCACTACGACGACGACTACGAGTACGTTTACGCGTACTACGACTACCACGACGCCTGCCTTGACGTTGTTCTCGAGTTTGGGCGGGGGTCGATGTAAAGATGGCTCGTACCCTGACCCTGACCCTGACCCTGACCATGGCTCTGGCACAACGAAGAAGTTGTCGACAACACTCACAGCGGAGGATTGTGCACGATCCTGCGTCTCACATGCTAACAACCAGTGCCGCTACTTCGCCTGGCGACCTGACAAACCTGACAAAGGGTGCCGCTTCTACGGGGCAAGTGGCTGCAACCTCGATAAAGACAAGAAAAAATATGTCACCTACAAGAGAGAGGTACTGTCAGAAGAACAAGGTGACCCGTGAGATCATCAACACGCAGGGGCTTTTCAGATCCCGCCACGCAAGGGCTTTTCTCGTTTTATGGTCTGCCGAAACTCTTCGAGTCCCTGCTCAGAGCCAGAAAGCCTCCGCTCACGAATCGAAAAAGGCGCTGATGAGTCAGGTATCGCCGCATCGCTTTGTGGCTGTGTTCTCAATGACATGGACTGGCAGCTTAGGTTCAGCTTTGCAGCGTTCAAAGACTTTACAGGCGGCTCAGGCACCGAAGGGAGTTCAGCGGCTGTTTGACATGTGGGTTTCTGCTGTCATTGGTGTTGAAGCTCAAAGCAGTGAAGCATGCGTCTGCATCTGAGCGACCGCCTTTGCAATCGTTTTCCTCCGAGTCTTTTTCGGAAAGGTGGGCGCCGTGTCGCACGGGCACAGGGTCTCCTCGCACAGCTCGGAGCCTCGCAGCAGGCCCAGTGAGTGCGGATGGAGTGGTTCGTTGTGCCGTGCCGTGCCCCGAGTCGTAAGGTTTCACATGGTGTATGGAAGAAAATTGGACATCTTCCTTTGCACTGGAGCTGAATCCACGTGATTGCTGCCAGGTGCACGGTGCGTGCGACGAAGCCCGCAGGCGCGATGCTGCGGATGCCCTTCCCGACGCTGAGACTGCGACGTGGCATGCTCGCGGAAAACAGCCCCTGGGCCTTAGCTGTTGGGCATGGAGCCATGCGGGAGTACGTATTTAGGCATTCCGGCATACTACCTAATTCGCTGTTCGAGTGGCCACTCTTTCTCCCAAGTTGGTCCAAGCTAACAGAATATTTTGTTTCCGAAGCTGTGCTTAGTTTCTTATGATTCTTCAGAACTTTTGCCCTTTGTTCTATGAGGGTTTTCTGACTATTCTATGAAAAAAGCAATGCTATAAAATGTTGTAACAAAGATATTTAGATAAATTCTTGCCATGTGCTCATGTACTATGTCTTCTGGGATTTTAAGAAGTCTCCGGCTCAAACACGGGTGTGGGAGCTGCACGTGTGCGAGGCGGAAGACGGGCGGGGGCACGTCAAACGGTAGTCATCCGGAAGTCATATGCGTGCATTCTTATTACGGCTGATGGCATGTGTTTTTCTCTTCGTAAGACGGTTCATCGGTATGCAGTCTGCTATGGCGGAATTGCGGCCTGTTCTGCAACTCACTATTTTGATTGGCCTGCAGTTATTTTGCGCTTACTCGCTTGGCAGTGCTTGGATCTCGTAACCATGGTTACATCTCCTTTGGTGTACGTATTCTATACTTGCACAGTCGGCCGTCGAGGGTTTGAACGGGTACGAACTTGTGGTATTCGAAAGCTTAGGTGGTGTCGAACGAGGAGGAGTGGCTCTTTCGACTAGTAACTGGTATTCGCAAAAGAATCGACCTGCAACACAAATGCGGCATTGGAGACTTTAAGCGCGATTGCTTCGCGCATTTGTCTTTTGATTTACATCAAGGGCTTCACGAAGTCCAGGCGTCGTATGGCTCGGTTGGGAGAATTGCTGGACTTTCGGGTATTTTGTAGCTGTACATAGGATGAGGTAGGCAATGGAAAGGAGATTCCGAGATGAATATCACGAGATTGGTGAATTCACAGCCAGTTAGATGCAAGCATGTCTCACATGACTGAAAACATCCTCGCCCCACTGGCACGGTGCCTTTCCTGTGTCCACCTCATGTTCATACCACCTGGCAGATTCCCACCGTCAGCTGCGCACCGAACAACAACGGTTCTTGTACTGCTGCCGAAGATTGACTCGACCTGGGTCAAACAGTGGTATATGTCGCCATCTTCTACTGTGCTTTTCCTGCGAAACCCATTCTTAGCCTACAAGCGGACGATTCACATTCCAAACAATAAGACAGTACACCCAGTAGACGTGGCATTGCCTCCCTGAATTCATGTAGACTCCGCGACAGCAGACCCGACGCTTGAAAAGGCTACACCAACAAACAACATACATGAACTGCAGTAAGCTCACAAACAGCAGCATTTAAACACAGAGCACATGGAACGTGTGTTTTTGTCTAATACACAATAGTGTGAGGATGACGTTAGGAAAAGTAGTACATGTTGTAGTACCACCGCGATACACGGAGGCCTCTACAGCTTCATGGTCTCTTTGCGTGCTCCTTCTACACTGGCACATCTCGTAGCTTCAATGGTACGCGGTCTCTCCTTGTTTGGTGTCTACGAAGGCTCGATGTCAGGTCGATTGGGTGGTTTCATGAATCTTGTCATTTTTGTTGGCTTGGAGTCCAACGCAGAAAAGACGGAACAGTTTGATCTTATGCTGGCAGCTCGTGCTTTGAGGCTCAATGTTTGTGTCCCACGGAAGTACAAAGCAGCTGAGATCCCTTCAGAATTATTTTCGGGTTGTGTCGTTCTTCATTGCAAAGAAAATTGTTGCATTTCATGTTAGGGGTCATGTTATGCAATGGTGGTCCGCAAGGTTGGCTGGTAGATCACATCACGCATGGTGGTCGCACACAATGGTTTGCAGCTTGCACCTGGGTGTTTTGGCAGGTGAAGGCTGCCGGAAAACGACAGCCAGGTTGAGCCAAGTGTTGTGTTCGATCTTGGATCTGCTCTTGTTTGCCACCAGCCAAATAGACTGATTGAGCTCAATGTCCGCGTGTGCGCATGCTTACACCCCACATTGTCTGTTGAATCGTTTTGGCGCCATGAAGGCAGCTGAAAGCCTCGATCGACGTAACTGCAGCCCCCGAACGTGCTTCAGGAGAAGAGCAGGACAGCAACATCTTGTTGCCAAAGCATGCCGGCTCCTTGGATTAGGGATGATGCATGGTGTTTCGGATGCGCTCACAACCCCGCACTCGCAACCCGTGCTCGTTTCTCGGAAAGCGCTGCCGCAAGGGCCCTGGCAGGGGAGACTGGTAGCCTGTGTAGCCACTGTCGAGAGTGCCATATCCGTTCCAACTCAGCCGTTGGTGGAGCTGCGACGACATGTCGATGGACGATGCCATGGCGTTGTTTCGCAGATTCGATGTGAATGGTAATGGCACACTTGGGTTTGATGAGCTTCGCGAGCTACTTTTTTGCAGTAGTAGTTTTGAGCAAAGCTTGCCATTGCACTAGACTGAAGTAAGGATATTTTTTGCTTACATGCAAGGTTGTTGCTGATTGTGGGAGTTCCGCCTGCAGACATTCCTGGGCTTTTTGGCATCATTGATACCAATGCCGACGGTTCCTTGACTGAGACTTGCAGAACGAGTTGTGTTGTTCGCGAAGGCATGTAGTGTTCAGCTTGTGTGCATAAAAGAAGAAGTGTGGTCTCTCTCTCAGGAAACGTGGATTTCGAGGAGTTTGTCAGATGGATGTGGTCGCAGCCAGTGGATGCCAAGGATATGAAGAAAGCATAAGACAGCTTCAGGCTTGTTTTAATGTGTGGTGCAATCAAAGTGTCTTTTTTACCACAAATGCCAGCCAGGAGAAGATGGTGGGTAGCACTGCTGTGGCTCGACAGCTTCTGCGAGAAATAGCTGACAGGTTGGATGCAGACCGCGTGCCATATGCTGCTGGTCTGCAACTGTAGATCTTTGGAATGGTAGAATCTTGACAGCTGCTTCGTTGAGTGTCGAGTGCGAAGAGAGACCCCGCAGCTTGAAGCAAGGATACGCTCTTTGTGTTGCTCGGATGCAGAAATGCTTCCCCGAAATCGTGGGATATGTTGCTGCATGTGTAGTCATGGAGTTGCACCAGGAATGCAGATGTGGTCCGTGACGGCCTTCTTTCACGCAGCTCGCAGCATTTGTTGCTGGGTAGGTCGCCTCGTCTTTTTCAACATGCTTGTTGTAGCTTTGTTCAGGTATATTGCAGCAAGTTTCTTGTGCTCGATGTACGAACATTGGCAATGCTGCAGCAGCTCAGGGCTCGTGCAATCAACGGTTTTGTTCTGAGAAGAAGTTGCAACTGTGCGTGGGCTGCTCATTGCTGAGGTGACGAGATGTCACGAATCTTGATGGCATACCTCCCAGATGTCACATCATCGGTACTGGCAGAGGCGTTCAATCTCTGCGATTGGGACAACAATGGATGGACCCCTGGCAGGGGAAGCAGTTTCGGTCGGTCATAACACGTCTGGTGCACCGGAAGGGGGCCAGCGGCCATTTGAATAGGGGAGACATGCGCCTCAGGATTAACGTTGAAGAGTTTGTGGCGGCGCTGCACCAGGCCAGGCCTGAGTGGAGAGTGCTGGAAATACCATGAGAAGTGTCAGAATGAAGTGTCAGAAGGCTCATGTTCTCCGGACCTTGGATAAGCGATGCTGAACTGGGTTCCAGTTTCGGTCAGGCAAGCAGCCAGGCCAGCTGCCTGAGATGGTGACCAGTGGTTTCGCGCGCCAACGTCGATACATGCTGATTGATCATGCATGACAATTCACACATTTCGCGTTTCCGTGTTATTTGTCTCGTCTTTCATACGATCATCATGCCAGGCAACTTAGACTCCTAGACAGTTCTCCTTAGCATTACGGTCTTGATGCTCTTCGAGCTTGGCCGGCCAGTTTTTTCCCTTGCGGAAATCCATTCTCTGTGCTGCTGGTGTCTGGTATCGCTTCCAGTTTGGCTACAGTTGGAAATGTGTCACGCGCTGTTTCTCTTCGTGGGTAGTGTCCTGTTTTTCCTGTTAACATGGGTCACTTGAAGCTTCCCCAATATGCAGAGGCAGCACTACCTGCGACCGTGGATGTCGAAGTGACGATACCATCTGGATGGCGGTATGGACAGCAGTTGCCAGCTAGCAGGCTGCAGATGGAACTTGAGATGGAGTTTCGCAAATTCTGATGCTGACTGATGCTTGCCATCACCCTGGCTGCACCAAGGTCACGTACGATGGCCTTATGTATTACGTGGACGCGCCACAGCATACGATGATGTACAATGTCTACCGCGAAAGAATTAAATTCACGTGCTGCTTGAGAGTGACGTGAGCACTGCGGTTATGACAGCCGAAGTACGGCAGTTTGTGTTTTCTGGTCCTCGCAAGGTGCCTGCCGGCTTCACAGTCGGCAATTCATTTACCACTACCTTGCAGCGGGCGGCATGAGGCTAACGGTTCACAGCAGATCCAAACGTGTCATGAACATGATTGCTGTACAGAGGCAAGCGCATGCGCACCCTCGGTCAAACCGGTGACAAGCGTGCGTGTTCAGCATGTTTCGAAGAACTTCTGTGGTTACCTAGCCTGCGACATGTGGTATCATGTTTGAAGCCGCGTAACCCAGTGTAGGCCTGGGCCACACTGCGACTGCCCCGATTTTAGCGGTGGTTGTTGTATTGCTACCTTCAAATTCGCTGGGTTGCGAAATGTATGCAAAGCCGTTTGCCACGCAAAGCGTGACTATGGGATGCCCGACCGTTCAGCATAGGGCAGCATTGGAACGGCCTGCTTCTGATTGAGTGTGTTGATGCTGGAATCGCTTAACGGTTCTCATGTACCTGCATCTGGGTCAGAAGCGTGCTGTCGTGTAAGAATGCAGGGTTGACATGGAGTCGTCCTTTTGAGGTCCGCCAGATTAGTGACTTGACGGATCTGGATGAGCCCGAGGACACAAGTGCTGTCTCAAGCCTTGCTCAGTAGGGAAACCCGCGCACTGCAGGCACTCTCTGCACACTCGCCCTCTGCTCTCTGGTGCTTCCATTCGATTTGATAGTTGATGGAATCATGCTACACTTCTCTGCTCAGAAATCACATATTGACATCCTGATCCCGGCATTCTCTGCTGTGTTTTATACAGAGTTGCAGGACACGTGTCCTAGCACGAAGGAACAGGCTGCATGCTCTAAGGAGTGGCGATTTCTTGTAGCTGCACTGCAGGTGCTATTGAGGCAGTCGGGCACTTTTTGGGGGAAAGAGCCTTTTGGCGTGGATCATCTCGGAATCATTCGGAATCATTCGGAATCATTCGGAATCATTCGGAATCATTCGGATCCGGTGACCTGCTGGGCATCTTTTGGCACTTGTTCACATCCTCCAAGAACCCTCGAACTTCCGCCCAGACCTTGGCTCTAAGTGCAGGACGTGCGGCTCACCGTGCCCACGGTGCCCACCGTGCCCACTGTGCTGACGCAACCGCCGCAACCGCCGCAACCGCGGCAACCGACGCAACCGACGCAAGCTGCCATGAGCTGAGAATTGGTGCTCCACGTGCAGCCATGCGCAGCCAGTCTCGCGAGTTTTTCTGCTTTTGCTTCGAGGCCCCTGCAGCGGGTCTTGACGCACGACCTGCAGCATGTCAGCCACGCGATCCTGGACACAGGAAGTGCGCCGCTGCCCTGTCGGTGTGCTGGCCCTGTTTCCGAAACGAAAGCCATGTTGGCCCTGTTTCCGAAACGACGGCCATGTTAAGCAACTTGTGGCCCATAAACATGTCGTGATGAGGGAGTTGCTGATCACAAACCGGTGGTTTGATCTTGGTATCGTTTTGGGGCGTGGCTCGTTGCGTCAGTTTGGGGTAAAGCCGCGCCCGCAGGAGATACCGGAAGTCGATTTTGGACCGGATTCGGCTTGAGAAAATGGTTGCGGGATTCAAGCATGTTCAAGTTACAAGCTACAGGGCTTGGACTGAAGGGTTGCGGTGGACGGTCACAACGACACTTCGCCCCTCCGCTGCTCAGACTGTCTTGGGGTCCGGGTTTGTGGGATGGGCCAAAGACGCTTTCACAGCCTTTGCCAGAGGTCGATTTTGCTGTGTTGTTCGGAACTTTGGCGGGGACTTTCAATTTGGTACATTGGGTACAACAGGCTGCGATGCCGTGCCTTGCTCTGGTTTTCATGTGCATCATCATCCAAATGAGACCCTGAAGGGTGTGTGGCACTTGAGGGCTGGCAAGTATGCGCTGTGGGAGGGAAACCGCTTGTCTGTGCTGCAACGGAAGGTCATGAGGCTGCCAGATGCTGCCAGTGCATCGCCCTTGTGCAGCCGGTTTTGCTGTGGTTGAAGGCATGACGCCAATGCAGCTGGAAGGTGAGATCGGCTTGGCTGGCCTCGTGCTCGGGAGTTCTCGGAGGTGGTTGCCAGCTTGGCGCCGTCGTCCTTTTCTACCTTGGGACCATGTGGCTCACCAGTCGTAGTGCTTTATGGGCATCACGTGCCTTCTTCATCCTTCTTCGCAGAGTGGACCGACAAGACCGGTTGGTTGGCTGGTTGTTGGTTGGTTATTTGGCAGTGATGTGATTCTAGCCGACGGCTGTGAGGAGCGGAGCCGTGCAGAGCAGTGGCATGGATGGTGCAGCAGCGACTGCTGCATGTTGCCCTGGCATTCATGTCAGCCGGGGTCTCCGGAATCGGTAGCTCTCACGTGCTCTCGTGCAGTTTCTTGTTTTGGGATGGCGATGGCTCTGTTAGCTCCGTTGCAGGCATTTCTTTTGGACCCATGGGTTTGGGATGCCCGTGTCTAGCTGTTCCCGTGTCTCGAGGCTTTCTGCCGTCCGTGTCCGGGGTGTCGCTCAGTAGTTTGGCATGGTCTACTCTTGGACAAGCTGTGAGGGTGTGACCCACCAGTGCCAGTGTTTTTTTGATTTCAACGTTCATATCTTTTGGGTGTGTTGGCCATGCGTGGGGGGCAGCTCGGTGTGGCCTCGATCGCGGGGCATTTGGTTGGGGGCTGTTACGGGTAGCCTCCGCCCGCCCCATCCGAACAACAGCCCCCCCCCGCCCCAGTTTCACCAGTTAGTGCATGTTTGCCTGTTGTGGCGAAACACCAACTTGTCATGTGTGGGAGGTTTGCGAAGCCACCAAGCAGGGCCATCAACTGCAGGGGAAAAGACCACTTGCTCATGTAGCAAGAAATGATTTGCAAGGATCATGAGTGAGCTTAGTGTGCATGGACTGCATGATGTGTATCCTTATAGTGCATGTGCTTATTGTGCCATCAGCAGGTACCCTCAGGCTCTTACTTCGCCGTCGCTTCATGTGGTAGATGCCAGGCCGGCTTACAAGGAGGAAGCAAGTGGTTGAAGCGCCCAGTTCTTTGCAAGGCCTTGAATTGCAGGTTATAATTGTGCAGTTGGTCAACTGTCCAGTGTCCAGCTGTCCCTGTGAGCAAGCCCTTGCCAGTGTTTACCGTCCTTTGGGTTTTTGTCCCAGTAGTCTCAATATGTCGCAATTCTCAATTGTGCAACCATGCCCCATGCCCTGGGGCCGACTTCCCGTCATCTTGCTGCATGTGTGCACAGAGCATCAGTAGGGTCAGCAGGTTAATCAGCGTAGCAAGTGATATCGTTGGGCCTCGATAGCCGAACAGGGTTTCACTGCATCCTTGTTTGAGAGGCCTTTGCCATTCCAAGCATCGCCGCGAGGAGTAGCCGGGCTCTTGACTCCAAGCTGCTTTCGTCGGAGTGGGTCTGCTTGTGTTCACCAGCAAGGTGGCGTCACCATATGGCGTCCAGCAGGGTCAGGCTCAGGTTTGACCTTCCTGATCTCAAGCTGCACATGTTGAACGTCACAGCATCCACGCATGACGGTCCATTCGGGAGTGTGTTTGTCAGCCATTCCTGCTCGCAGACGTGCTCGCTGTTTTTGATGCAGACCAAGAGAACCGTCCATGGCTGTCGGGCTTTCGTGCTAGCTGCTAGCTTGTGCATGTATGTTTTGTTGTAGCTTTGTACCTGCTGCTCATGGAGCCCCATCAGGCTTCGGAGAACGCCAAGCGCATTTTAGGTGAAGCTGGCTGGGAGCAAATCCAGGATGCTGCTGTTCCTGCGGACTGGCTAACTGTGCAGCGAGGACGAGACCTCTTTTTGCCGGGCTGGGGAGGCTTCGATGTTTCCCAAGCTTTCGATGCTTCTCAAGCAGCGGGCGCCCACATTCCGAGCGTGGCGGAGCTCAGGAGTGCCTCGGAGTGTTTTCAGAAACTTCCGAAAAGTCCTTTCCTTGATGGACCGGTTGTGGTTTATGAGGGAGGTTCTAGCAGGAAATTCTATCGCTCAAGCCCCAGAGGACTACAACCACAACGATTTTGAACCTACGGAGTAGAGATGTTGGGTTCTTTGAGCCTACTTCTCGCAGAGCGGGCCGTGCCTGTCTGAGGCCACGGATATCTTGCTAAGTTCTTCGCTGGCCTACCAGACAAACCGGGATACAGTCGCCTTCAGCGCTTGCTTCTGGTACCTGACAGCTTGCTCGCACGATATGTCGTTCAGCACAGGTCCTTCTGGGCTTGTGGCGATCACCTCAATAGACTGGATGAGGTCGAAAGGCACTTTGATGAGATTTGCACAGTCAGCAGCGCAAAAGCTCTGAAAGAGGAGCCGCGCAAGCTCCTGAATCGCTTAGCTCGTGATCGAGCAGTTGCAGATCATCCGCTGGTTTATTTTGCACACTTGGCTTCGCAGGTCTCGGTTGGCTTTGACGATTCCCGTAGGCTGTGCCAAAGCGAATCGCCGTGCTTCGAACTGTCTGTCCTTTTGGACTCACACGCTGTCGTACGAGCAGCGCAGGAGCTGAACAACTGTGCCGCCGACTATGTTCGGGACATTCGGCAGAAGCGCTGTGCCCTTGTGGTCCTTCGCTCTCTGAAGTTGCTCGCAATGGGTGAGTGGGATTTGCACGACCGGCGCTGGTCACAAATCTCAGAGCACAGCGATGAGCCCGTCCGTGAGGACTGGCTGAGTATGTTTGAGCAGATGGAGGGTGATTGGCTCTTCCCTCCGGTTGCGTCCTTGTGCTTGCCCGACCTGTCAAGCGCAAGCTCTTTCTTGCAAGACATGTCCGAAGACGCCGTGTCCATTTTTAGTCCAGAAGGTGTAGATTGCTTGGAGCGCATGTGCAGCTCCGCCGGTGATGAGCTGCGACCATGCCTTGGTTGGCCATCTCTCCTACCTGAGCCAGGTTCCTGCCATTTGGAGGCCGCAACGGCTTTGCTCGTGTGGACTGCTGCTGATGTGCTATGCGTGGAAACCGAGTCAGATTCAAAGGTGCTAGAAGTGGTCGATATGCTCGTGATGCGCCGCGCTGACCCTCATGCCATGACAGATAAAGGTTGGACGCCCTTGATGTTTGCGGTCCTTGCGGGTCACGAAGATCTCTCTGCCAAGCTGCTTGATGCAGCCGCGGATGTCGATGCGAGGAGTGGCAATAGTGGGAGGACGGCCTTGATGCTGGCTTGTGCCACGTGCCGCGCAAGCATCGTGAGTTTGCTGATTGCTGGCAAAGCAGCCGTGGACTGTGCTTCGCGGATTGATGGGCGAACGGCTTTGCTTCTGGCTGCTGGAAGCTCAGCTTCTCAGCGCAGGGAAGGGTGTAGTGGGTTTAGTGCTGTGGGATCTGTTGGCATGGTTTAGGTCGGGAAGGCTCGCTCTTCGGAGCTTGCGGCTTGCGGGAAAATCTGTTTGTTCGTTTATGCTTTCCTTCGATTGGCTCAAGCCCTTGTGAGGTCAAGCCGGGGTTGCCACAGGGGTTTACCAGGCAACCTGCAAACTAGTGTACCCAGTGTCCCAACTACATGGCAAAGCTCAATGGGCACATTCGTGCCTCTAGGGTCGAAACTGTCGTACGTTGATTTCATCGTACTGACCAATCTAGGACAGATTGTACGATTCGTAGATCAGATGTGCGTAGGTCTTGTGACGCCAAGCCGGCACGGCCACTGCGAATTAGTTGGCATGTCAGCGCTTCGCTTGCAGCCATGGCAGGCAGTCCTTGGAAGTGGCCTAGTCTTGCACTCATGCTGCTGCAACTAGTCGGCGTTATATGTTATTGATGATGTCAAGTCAAGGTTCAAAATTCCTGTCGTGCTTGTGTCTCCAAGGCAGAACGCGATCACTCCCATCGTGTTTAGATACGTGCCTTGCCAGAAGTGCGAGTGGAGAGTCCCGCCGGCTGCTCCTGGCTGCTGAGGCCACAACTGGTGCGAAGGAAGAGGATCGATTCAGCACGGTGGTGTCCATCGCATGCCAGGATATGGGGGGCACAAATGCAATCAATATCAGCCACACTTAGCCTAGCTTACCAGGTTACCATAGGTTGCCGTAGGTTGCCGTAGGTTACCATACAGTGTTGGGGCCGCTGCGCAATGCCGCAGTTTCCCCCAATTTTCCCAAGGAGGGCTTGAAGCTGGTTCTGTCCTTGGCCTTGGTGATCTTCGAGCATGGGGGCCTACAAGGAACCTGGGCAGCGCTGCGAGCGATAGAGCTTGGCGACTCCGTCCGACTTGCTGTTCCTGCACTTCTCTTCGTTTTTCAGAACGCGGCACAGCCCCCAGCGTTCGGCCATGCTCTGCCTTTGGGCGCCCCAGTGGAAAGGAATGACTTTGGATGACTGCGCCATACGTGCTTAGCCCAGGCCATGCAGCTGGCCACTGTCCACTTGCCGGCGGCGCTCTTCCAGGTCCTGTGGCAGGGCAAGACGAACTTTGGCCGCAACACAGCTAAGTCAGCTAAGTGAGAAGCAGTACTGCGAGCCGTGTGAAGTAGTGGCACATGTTGCAGTCAGCTGCAACCAGGCTGGTCATGGCAGGGCTGTCGGTACTTCTGTTGGACAAACGCTTGGTGCGATCAGCATGGCTAGCAATAGCTTTGATGGCCGCCTCTCGTCTGAGACTAAAGAGCACTCAGATTCCAGTTTCAAGTTGGGTTAGTCACACACCTCTTGTTGTATGACTCAGCTGCCGTAGTAAGTTCCATCATCCCAGCCATTCGTGGTGATCTTGCCATATTAACACCATCCTGGGTTGAACAACGATTGACACACACACACACACACACTCACTCACTCACTCACACTCACACTCACACTCACACTCACACTCACACTCACACTCACACTCACACTCACACTCACACTCACACTCACACTCACACTCACACTCACACTCACACTCACACTCACACTCACACTCACACTCACACTCACACTCACACTCACACTCACACACGCACTCACTCACACTTGGTTTCCGAAGCCCGTGACTCTTTCTGCTGTGCTTGCAGGCCGGCATTGCTGGCGTGCAGCTCTCTCAAAGCAAGGACTGCTTCTCTGCGTCCATCAGCTGGTTAGCAGCAGCATAGCAGGACCTGGTGGTGTAGGCTCGGGATGACCGGACAAGATATAACTATGATAACATGTCTCTGTGCTGGTAACACCTTACCATGCCAGTACCCTCCTTGGCAGGAGAGCAAGCAGGCTTCCATGGCGAATGCCACTGAGCAGCGACCAGCACTAGGCGCCACGGCATCTTGAGGTGGCTCGTGAGGACTTCGTTCTCCATGCAGGTTTCCTCTTTGTCCTCGGTGGATGCTTCTGCAGCGGTTTCGCTGTTCCCTGGCTATAACTTCAAGACCCCGATACACGACACCCAAGTGTCATGCTTCTTGTTGCAGTGCCTGCTGCATCCAGTGGTCGCAAGCTGTCGCGAGGCAGTTTACTTGGAAAAGCTGGTGAAGCAAACGGGGAGAGCGGTCAAGACATCCATGTGGGTGCAGAACATGCAGTTGGTACCCGGATGTGTTAGTCCTTACATGAGGCTTGCTTCCGAGTCACAGGCAGCACAATACCATATTGATGAGAACCATGAGGCATTTTACTCCTTAATCTTGACGGGCTTGACGACGGGAGCGTCCCGTGCAACGTCTGGTGCTGCAGACTCCGCTTCCGAGCAATCAGATCATGGAATCTTTCGCGGATTTTCGTTGAATGCATCATGGTTCTGAAAAGCATGGCAAGGAAACAGGCGATGTCTGCGATGGTCTACGAACGATTAGTATCACTGTCGTCTAAGGTATGGATTATGATCTTCAACAACGCCATAGGCGGTTCTCTCAAAGTCTATGTACATGATCATACATGTATCTGTCCGCTGGTGTCCCTCAGCTTCTGTGACTGCATGCCTGGCAGGCGGGCTGCTAGTGGCCCTGGTCATCAAGCATGCCGACAACATTCTTCGTGGTTTCTCAACAGCTCTTGCAGCTTGACTACTTGATTTGGTCTGGACTTTTGGAAGTCTGCCCCGACACTCCCAGCGTTCAGTGTGTGTGTGTTGTACTTGCAGACCTGCCCGGAGTACTTGCTGCAACATGCCCGTAGACTGAGGCTACAGTTGTGACAACGCGCCTTTGCTCAGATTTCTGTCGAGTGCTCGACACCTACCTGGCTGTTCGTTCAGCATAGTGTAGGTAAAGCACGCTTCTCCTTAGGAAGATTAGCCTTTGACAGTCTTTGGTTCTGTTTTTAGGACCCCTTGGTCTCGCAGCCTTCGAAAGCCGTGCAGATGCTAGCCGAGGTTTCTTTCCGTTTTGTGCTTTGGTTTCGAAGTGCACATGTCGTTCTTCTTCAGCGGCCTGCTGGTGGTGGGAAGTTCTCTGCTTTATGGAGGCCTGCTTCATATCCGCCGACAAGTGATGCAGCAATGCTTGCACTTTGATGTGAAATTTGTTCGAGGTGCAGTGAAGATTCCTGGAGAGTGGTG